GGCCGGATCTAGATCTGAGGTAGTTCAGGCCAGGTCGGGTTTATTCTGGGCTGAAAATCTGAGCCTGTGCCCGGCCCAAATTGTCTTTCAGGCTGCAGATTGAGGACTGAGCCTAGCTCGGGTGTCAACCCCAACTCAACCCAGCCTAGGCCCAGGCCGGGTCGTCGGGCTGGGCGGCCCATGCCCATATTGGTATGAACACACGGCACTTCTGTTTATGTACAAGTGCACACCTAATGGATATACCATCATATTATTACAGAAAATGGATATATCGTAATATAGCAAAAATCTAAGAAATTATTGTAAGGGATATAGTGTCATGAAAACACCCTAAGGTCTATAGATTCTCTAAAAGCTCTGTTCTGAAACTGTTTTGGTACTTCGACTTGGAGATTCAAGCTTACCATGAACACCCAACTCTTGCCCAACTAAGTAAACGGCTACATAGAGAAGAACATCATACCAGATTTACAAGAAGATTACAAGTACTTAAGTACGTAATGGTAGAATAGAGTGGCGCAAAACAAATGAGTCAAGTTGAAAACACAACACTTGGTGCGGTAGAGTAGACTGGCGCAAAGCAAATGAGTCAAGTTGAAAATACTACACTTGTATCTGAGTATACCTGCCTATTATGAACATACTCCAAGAAAGAAGGAACATCTTTATAGCGCACTTGAGTATCGCCACCTGGTATAGATGGCTTTTGGAAACTGATTATGTCCCCATCTTCAAGCTAACACAAGAAAGAGTAAGTGGAGGAACCAATGTTTATCTTTTATAACTACAGACCTGAAAGAAATTTGTATCTGAAAACGAGTTTTTTTTCCCAAACCTGACTAGATCGGAAACTAAGTTTCTTGTCAATATGTTCACACATCACATTAGGCTCGAACTTAATTTCCTGCAGCATAACAATGACAAAAAGCTCAGAATATTCATATAGGGAAGATAATTACTATAGGTATATGCATGTATGCCACAAGATCATTGACTTCCATCCAAGGTACAATTTAGCAATTAACCACAACGAAATGAGTACAAGAATGCATACATAGCAAGAGAAATAAAACATAGTTGTACATAACTGAATATTGCACTCACCTCATAAAGTTCGATTTCTTCATTTGGGGAAAATCCAGCCATTTCATTAAGTTTTGTCAGGATATCAGATGGCTTTCCCAAAGCCTTAACAAAAAGCCTACCAACAAAACTGTATAACAAAATGATGTCAGTGTCTGAGTCTTTTGTATCAAAAATAGAAGTTGATCCTTGAGAGGAGATATACCGAAGCTCTTCCTTTTCAGGATTATAAAGCTTGAAGAAAAGTAAAATATCTTCCTTGCTCTTCTCGGGAGGACGAATTGGGCGCAAATCCTACACAGGTAACAATAAGACATGGTCAGGCATCTCTAATTTAATGATAAAATAGGCAAAATATGTACACAAAAGAAACAATAAACTGAAACTGATTTATACGATACCAATCCTAGCTCTACTTCAAGAAATAGCTTCAGCTCAGCATTGTGTGCCTTGTTTGATACCTCCCTAAGTTGCCCCACCTGTGCAGCACGTGACAAGTAATGAGATACTATATTGTAATCACAACACAAATAAAATAGAACGGAAAGTAAAAAGGCCAAGGCATTATCCACCATCTTCAACCTAAATAGACCTGAAGGCCATACAAACTGCTCTAGTATAGGTATGAATTGTGATGAAAGAACATACAAAGAGCAACAAACATAGGAGCAATAAATCATACCTCAAAAAGTCATAGTGATTTACTGCACTGACACCTCATTTTAGCAATTCAACTGAATTGATGGATTATGAGACCAAATACACCAATGCACCACAATATACTTACTTGAGAGATGACCACAAACAGCCCTTACAGTAAGAAGGGTACAACTTTCCATTTAAGTTACCAACTTACCATCCAATTGCAACTTATGTGTGCTCGCAACTAACAGAACTATCAGATTAACCAATTTTGCATTGACATGACGGCAAGAGACCAGAAAGAATGAAAAAGGAAATATCGAGCAAATAACACCAAACAAACAGTTTTCCACCCATCAAAATAATTGAAATGTTACAAGTTCAATCTTTCAAAACAGTTTATCACTCACTGATTGTGCTTCTTCATGAGGGGCCAGCGGACGATTGGGCCGGTATGTATGATTTTGCCTCTTAGCCCACAACCAGAAGCGCTGAGACTGTACCGGAATGCCATATTCCTTTGCAACTTCCTCCTATCAAACAGCACATTTGGCAAAAGAAAAAAAGAGATCCAAATGAACCAAAAACGTAACTGATTAAATTAATGTAGATTATGTTAGAGAAATAGCAACTTGTATTCCCATGGGGCCATAGGCAGTATATATACATATACAGGAACCCCCCGCCCTAAACTCATGGTGGGTCAACAACAGTATGTTTGGAGAGACAAAAAGGCGTGTTGTGCTCTAGTTTGTGCCTTCGTGAAGAAATCCACCAACTATAACTCGAAAGGCACATGCTGAAGAGCAATCACCTGATCATGCGCACAAAGGAAGCATCAACACCAATATGCTTGGTGAGCTCATGCTTCACTGGGTCACACACAATACTGATAGCACATGTACTGTCAAACAAGAGAGGAGCAGGTGTGGTGATAGAAACACCAAAACCCTCAAGCAACCACCGTAGCCAAGTCATAAGAGACGGCGAGAGAGTACCACAACTCAGCCTCTGAACTCGAACAGGCTCCAGTATGTTTCTTCGTCTTCCAGGAAATGAGAGAAACTCCAAGAAAAACACAAAGTAAAAAGGGACAGACAATCTGAAGGATCACTAGCCCAAGTAGCATCCAAATAGGTCTGAAGACAGAACGAACTAGAGCGTGGGAAGAAGAGACGGCGAGAGAGTCCCACAAAGATATCGTAGAACACGAAGGAGGTGATTGTAGTGGACCGAAGTGGGAGCAGAGACAAACTGACGCGTAATGTGAACGGCGTAGGAAATCTCGGGATGAGTCACAACTAGATAGACAAGACTCCCAACAAGATCACGGTAGCGCGTCGGTTCAGATATAGGCTCACCGTAAGAAGCACGGAGGTGGACGTTCATCTACATCAGGGTCTCAACAATGCGCTCATCAATAAGAGAAGCACGAGCAAGAAGATCATGGATTCATGGGTATACTTCTCTTGGGAGATCAAGGAGCCATCAGAGATAGAAGAAACCTCAATCCCAAGAAAGCAGCCAAGAGGATCGAGATCAGACCTAAGAAATTGCTCACTAAGACGAGCCTTCACAAAGGCAATGTACTCAAGAGTCATCGCTAGTGATGATCATGTAGTCGACATATAGAAGTGGAGTCCGACCACGAGACGGAAGGTGGACAACAAGTGCGTAATCATGAGCACTCACCGAAAGATCGTTTTTGCAAGGGCTTGAGCTTATGTTAAAAGTACGCGTGTAAATCTTAGCGATGAAACCTTGTGGTAGACCACATGACTGTTGTAAGACCTTTTCTTTCTATCTAATGCACATACATGCAATGGTTTGCATGTTCTCAAAAAAAAATAAACCTTGTGGTAGAAAATAGAGCTATGCTTTAGAAATATTACCTTGAATGAATTAAAGGGTAATTGTTTCTGTATACGAAAATTACGGACTTTTTCGTGGTCCACCAGATCAAAATATATATTCTTCCCAATCTGCTCCTTCAAATCTTCATCTCGAGCAACCTAAGGTTGATTTATTCCAAATAGAGAAATATTAAAAGGAGTGCACCAGTAGAGCTAACTGGTATGACTGACACTAGCAATTAACAAGACCTTTATGATGGTGTAGAGGTGAGCTTCAGCTTTTTCCTTTTTCTTGTGTTCTTTCTCTTGTTGTTCTTTCTTCAACCTTATCTGCAAAAGAACAATTGAACTGACTCACTATTACAAAAGGAGTACACCATACTGACTAGAAAGAGAGGAGAATATAATGACTCACCCTCAAATGCTCAGCAATGTCCTTCTCATCAACATTACACATTATTTTCTCCTTGTCACTCTCACGAATATATACAAGCATGTAGGCATTTGAATACTTTGTGAACTTAAATGGGGTGTTATTGAAACCAGGGTTAACTTGAGGCAACTGTTCCCTCCAAAAGAAGACAAAAGAGAGACGAAGGTTCCATATTACACATAAAAGATGAGCGAAATCCCTAGAACCAACAGGTCATATACTGGATGAACTGTTGATAAAAAAAAACTTACCTCTTCCTCGCCCCCGTACTGCTCTTCAAGCGCTTTTTTAGTATCTTCTTTTGTTACTCGCTCATCATCAAATTTATACCTGAAAAAAACAGAAAGAAAGAAAAAATCAACACACAACATTTGCTGAACTGCTTTCAGGTGTACAGCAATCAGAGAGGAAACATAATGGTACGCAAAGGAACACAAAGTGGTTTGGTGTCACAGCTCGTTGAACACGTTACGGTGCAAGCAGACTGCATGCAAGTAACTCTGTCAGAAGCCATCCTTCAGTTGCACTAAATACAAGATGCCGATGCAGCCAAAATACGAAATGTGAGCAGAAGCTAATTTGAATACTCAGCCAAAATAGGAAATGTGCACAGAAACTAATTCGAACACTGTATACCCATAGGAAGTGTGCACAGAAGCTAATTCGAACACTGTACACTGTATACCCATCTCAAACCCATAGAGAAGAAAGAAATGACGAGCGGGATCAGGGAGCTGCCAAGCGGGTCCTATTCATCAATGATAAGGGTGGTTAGACCATACTGTTAAACTGAGTGTCATGTACTGAAGTTGTTCCTGGAGCAAATGAAATGGACTGAATTTCTCCTGTGTCTATCCTTTTTTTTTCTTCCTCGAGTTGGTGAAATTGGTCAAGAGGGGGAGAGCAGTAGTACATTAACTCATTTGGCTCATGTGACACAAGCCTCGACCTACAGTCCTACACTGGTGATGTGCAGGTTGGTGCACCGACTCAAATTGGTAACGCGCCTGCCAGTGTGCCGAGGTGGACAGCAGAGCAAGAGGAGCAGCTCAGGACAACTAGATCAACCACTGGCGGAACAACAGGATAGTGCTGATGTAATTTTCACCTCCTCTGATGGGGATCAGGCTGAAGGGTCAGGAGCTACAGAAGAGTGAACTGATGGGCAAATTGCTGAGGAGAACTACTCGAGCAACGGCAGAGATACCAGAGAAAAGGTATGGGTTCGATGTCATTGATGTTGGAAACTATATTTCTGTGAAGCATTATCTCCAGCCTATAAAGCATCTGTTGCTTCTCTTCAGTCTGTCAATTCCTACGAGTAGAATGTTGAATCTTAAGTAATGTTTTCTAGAGTGTTCTAGCTATAAGTAGGTCAGATGTGAAGGCTTCCCAAAGCCCAACAAAAAAAGAGGTCTTCACCTCTAGTTTGTAACCAGGCTATGCACCCCACTACCTATAATAGAATTTGGTGTTCTTATCTAAAATCTTGGACTAGATCTTGTGCTCTAGGGGTTTTGGATTGAACTCCTGCTACCACATTGGCCTATTTCCGCCTCTAGAGCGATATCTAGTGCAACTTGTTCAAGTAGTTCCTTCCACACTTGTGATGTACACTTTGTAGCAGCAAGGTGGAGTTGCTCCTCCACAACCTTGTGCTGCTTCACACTATTTGGTGATGCGTAACAGCAGGAACAAAAATAAACAGTACCCAAAATAGTCTTTTCCTAAGGTACAAGTACTGAGATGCAAGGACAGATAACTCCAAAGATAAAACTCACCACTGGTCTGAGAGTGTAGGCCGTATGAAAGCGTAGTAGTGACCACCATGTACTCCTCCACTATGAACAAGAACACTGAATAAAAGCATGTGACCAACATTAGCACCAACAAAATACAGATCACATCTATCTGAGACTTATTGCAGTGACATTTAAACTCGTATGGAACTGTGACTATGAAAGTAAACTACAGAAGTAACAGGTAAATTTCCAAAGTACCATTTCAAACTGTTCTGCACAAAATAGTGATTTGTTTATTGGAATTAATAGTTTCTACATACATCAAAGATTATTGTTCATGGATGTTCCCTTTAGTATAATAAATCATTCAAATAAATGACTGAACAACACAACGTGTACCAAAATGTCAGACAAAACCTATTACCTGTGAAGAGTGTAAAGGTTCCTAATACTTCTATCTGCATCTGGAGTAAGATATTTTCCATCATCCTTATCAAGATCGAGTTGTAGTGGGAACTCATAACGGTCATTAATCTGCAGTAGGCATTATTTTTATTAGCAACTCATAAGCATCCTTCCAAACATTTCTACAAACAGAAATGAACAAACAATATGATTTTAATTACTTGAGCAACCAAAACGCAAACAGAGATCAAATGAACAAAAACAAAAAATGTTAATCAGAGAGAACTCCTAATGAAAGGTTACAAAGAGAACAAAATGGGTAAGTAACTTGTCGCCAATTTCATACAGAATGAAAGATAGGATGGCATGGATCTCACATTAAATGGTTCCAAATATGATTAACTATATGGGCTGTGCTCAAGGGTGTGTTTGGTTTGAGAACGAAGTGGAATGGAATGTCATGGTTCCATTCCACCAGAATGGGTTGGTTCCATTCCTGAGTTTGTTTGGGGATAAAATGTGGAATGGAATGGTTATATTTCAACGTTTGGTTGGAGAGTTGGAATGGAATGGATTCTGAGATTACCTCTCACATGCATATGTACAATATGAGCAATTAGAGCCTTTTTTATGTTTAACAACAAATTATGCAAAATACATTTCAATTTCACAATGATCTATCATCCACATATAATCTGATGTCTAACTCCGCCTATGTTGTCTCAACATAGCCGGTCCCAAGCCCGGGTAAAGGAGGAGGGTTGTGATAGGCTTGGCGAGCCAACGTAAAAACTCAGCCACTCTTATGGAGATGAAACCCAAAAGATTTTCGTTGGGGCGTAACCCTCTCAGCGACGCGCTACATCGGAACCCGGGTGTGGTGGAAAATGGGCAAGGGCCGGGCCGTCACCCCCAAGGTGGCGCGCTGTATCTTGATCCGGATACGGTGGCAAGTGAGCGAGGATCGGGTCGTCGCATCCTTAGTGGCGCGCTACATCGGCGCCCGGATGTAGTGGAAAATGGGCAAGGGTCTTCGCATTTGACTCGACGAGTGCGAAGGGTAAGGAAGCTAGCCGAGCCTAGGAGGATTCGCTTAGGTAGCTGGAACGTAGGGTCTCTGACAGGGAAGCTTCGGGAGCTAGTTGATGCAGCGGTGAGGAGAGGTTTGCGTCCAAGAAACCAAATGGAGAGGACAAAAGGCGAAGGAGGTGGAGGATACCGGCTTCAAGCTGTGGTACACAGGGACGGCTGCAAACAGAAATGGCGTAGGCATCTTGATCAACAAGAGCCTCAAGTATGGAGTGGTAGACGTCAAGAGACGTGGGGACCGGATTATCCTGGTCAAGCTGGTAGTTGAGGACTTGGTTCTCAATGTTATCAGCGCGTATGCCCCGCAAGTAGGCCACAATGAGAACACCAAGAGGGAGTTCTGGGAAGGCCTGGAAGACATGGTTAGGAGTGTACCGATTGGTGAGAAGCTCTTCATAGGAGGAGACCTCAATGGCGACGTGGGTACATCTAACACAGGTTTTGAAGGGGCGCACAGGGGCTTTGGCTATGGCATCAAGAATCAAGAAGGAGAAGATGTCTTAAGCTTTGCTCTAGCCTACAACATGATTGTAGCTAACACCCTCTTTAGAAAGAGAGAATCACATCTGGTGACTTTTAGTAGTGGCCAACACTCTAGCCAGATTGATTTCATCCTCTCGAGAAGAGAAGATAGGCGTGCGTGCCTAGACTGTAAGGTGATACCTGGAGAGAGTGTTGTACCCCAGCATAAGCTGGTGGTTGCTAACTTCCGCTTTCGGATTCGTGTCCAGCGGGATAAGCGTGCCAAAGTCGCTAAAACGAAGTGGTGGAAGCTCAAGGGGGAGGTAGCTCTAGCGTTCAAGGAGAGGGTCATTAAGGAGGGCCCTTGGGAGGAAGGAGGAGATGCGAACAATGTGTGGACGAAGATGGCGACTTGCATTCGTAAGGTGGCCTCGGAGGAGCTTGGAGTGTCCAGGGGAAGGAGAAGCGAAGATAAGGATACCTGGTGGTGGAATGATGATGTCCAGAAGGCGATTAAAGAGAAGAAAGATTGCTTCAAACGCCTATACCTGGATAGGAGTGCAGACAACATAGAGAAGTACAAGATGGCGAAGAAGGCCGCAAAGCGAGCTGTTGGTGAAGCAAGGGGTCGGGCATATGAGGACCTCTACCAACGGTTAGGCACGAAGGAAGGTGAAAGGGACATCTATAAGATGGCCAAGATCCGAGAGAGGAAGACGAGGGATATTGGCCAAGTCAAATGCATCAAGGACGGAGCAGGCCAACTCTTGGTGAAGGACGAGGAGATTAAGCATAGATGGCGGGAGTACTTCGACAAGCTGTTCAATGGGGAGAATGAGAGTTCTACCATTGAACTGGACGACTCCTTTGATGAGACCAGCATGCGTTTTGTGCGGCGAATCCAGGAGTCTGAGGTCAAGGAGGCTTTAAAAAGGATGAAAGGAGGCAAGGCGATGGGCCCTGATTTTATCCCCATTGAGGTGTGGAAAGGTCTCGGGGACATAGCGATAGTATGGCTAGCCAAGCTTTTCAACCTCATTTTTCGGGCAAACAAGATGCCAGAAGAATGGAGACGGAGTATATTAGTACCAATCTTCAAGAACAAGGGGGATGTTCAGAGTTGTACTAATTACCGTGGAATTAAGCTGATGAGCCATACAATGAAGCTATGGGAGAGAGTCATTGAGCACCGCTTAAGAAGAATGACAAGCGTGACCAAAAATCAGTTTGGTTTCATGCCTGGGAGGTCGACCATGGAAGCCATTTTCTTGGTACGACAACTTATGGAGAGATATAGGGAGCAAAAGGACTTGCATATGGTGTTCATTGACTTGGAGAAGGCCTATGATAAGATACCGCGGAATGTCATGTGGTGGGCCTTGGAGAAACACAAAGTCCCAGCAAAGTACATTACCCTCATCAAGGACATGTACGATAATGTTGTGACAAGTGTTCGAACAAGTGATGTCGACACTGATGACTTCCCGATTAAGATAGGACTGCATCAGGGGTCAGCTTTGAGCCCTTATCTTTTTGCATTGGTGATGGAGAGGTCACAAGGGATATACAAGGAGATATCCCATGGTGTATGCTCTTTGCGGATGATGTGGTGCTAGTTGACGATAGTCGGACGGGGGTAAATAGGAAGTTAGAGTTATGGAGACAAACCTTGGAATCAAAAGGGTTTAGGCTTAGTAGAACTAAAACCAAGTACATGATGTGCGGTTTCAGTACTACTAGGTGTGAGGAGGAGGTTAGCCTTGATGGCCAGGTGGTACCTCAGAAGGACACCTTTCGGTATTTGGGGTCAATGCTGCAGGAGGATGGGGGTATTGATGAAGATGTGAACCATCGAATCAAAGCCGGATGGATGAAGTGGCGCCAAGCTTCTGGCATTCTCTGTGACAAGAGAGTGCCACAAAAGCTAAAAGGCAAGTTCTACAGGACGGTGGTTCGACCCGCAATGTTGTATGGCGCTAAGTGTTGGCCGACTAAAAGGCGACATGTTCAACAGTTAGGTGTAGCGGAGATGCGTATGTTGAGATGGATGTGTGGCCACACGAGGAAGGATCGAGTCCGGAATGATGATATACGAGATAGAGTTGGGGTAGCACCAATTGAAGAGAAGCTTGTCCAACATCGTCTGAGATGGTTTGGGCATATTCAGCGCAGGCCTCCAGAAGCTCCGGTGCATAGTGGACGGCTAAGCGTGCGGAGAATGTCAAGAAAGGGCGGGGTAGACCGAATTTGACATGGGAGGAGTCCGTTAAGAGAGACCTGAAGGATTGGAGTAGAGTATCACCAAAGAGCTAGCTATGGACAGGGGTGCGTGGAAGCTTGCTATCCATGTGCCAGAGCCATGAGTTGGTTGCGAGATCTTATGGGTTTCACCTCTAGCCTACCCCAACTTGTTTGGGACTAAAGGCTTTGTTGTTGTTGTTGTTGTTGTTGTATATAATCTGATGTCTATGTAAATTGTATCATCACAGCAACTATTATAAGAATAGACAAGAAATCTTAATTAAGCACAAAATCTAGATCACACAAGTACTAATGACAGCAAAAATTAGAAAAGAATAGCGTTCCTTTTCCTGCCAGGCAGAGTGCTTCTTCCAACCTTACGTACGTTCTCCTCTCCCTCTCTCCGTTGTGATTTTTTTCCCTCCTGTCGCTGGTTTTTTTCACCAATTTTCCTTGAAAACCGTCTTGATTGTCTCACCTTTTATTGACTTGCCAAATAAAATTAAGTTTCCTTTGGTAAGCCAATAAATTCTTAACAAATAAGTGTTTTTTATTTAGGTAGGTAAATCATGGGCAGGATTTTATAAACATTTATTTACACAATCACATTTATATGCGCAGGTAAATCACGGCTAAGGTACTAGAATATTTATATCCCCCTTGCAACGCACAGGCAATTATCTAGTGGCAGAAAAAAAATCATCAATGTTAACATAGAGCACACAGATCTAGCAGTAATCAAGCAATGCCAAAAAAAGGGAGCCCGGTGCACATAGCTCCCACTTGTGCAGGGTCCAGGGAAGGGTCGGACCACTTTGGTCTGTCAATAGATAATTGCCCGTGCATTGAAGGGCAATGCCAAGCTAACAAAAAACAATCAGTTCACTCGATCCAGCTTTGCTGCTTGCCACCGCCGCTGCTTGCTCTCTGCTACTTACGCTGCTTGCCACCCCAGCCGTTCCCTGCCCGATGCTGCTGCTGCCCAGGTGTGGCCACCACCGGCCGGCTGGCTACTGCCCCTTTCGCCGCCGCCGGAAGACAGATAGGGAGACGAGCCAACCGTCACGCGATCTGATGCTGCTGCTGCTTGGCGCCGTTGCCTGCCCGCCATCCAAAGGACACAGGTGGACGCCTATTTCCTGCTTGCTGTCTCGTCGTACCGCCACAGCACCTCGGATGAGCCATTCCTGGCTGCCACCACCCCGCCCCTGGTGAAGGAGAGACAGGTCTGCGCCATCCCGGCTACCGCCGTTGGAGGAGTTGATTTCAGGAGGAGGGGCTGCTTGTAGGTGCTAGCCCGCCACCAGTCCTCTACCCATCCCCCCCGCCGCCTATGCTCCGTGGTGCGGCGCAGAGAGAGAGAGAGAGAGAGAGAGAGAGAGGGAGAGAGAGAGAGAGAGAGAGAGAGAGAGCACACTAATCCACCAAGGACCATGTCATTCCGCCGATTTGGAGGAACCACCGCATTCCGCATCTGAGGGGTGTATTCCCTTTTGAGGAATCGGTGCTCTTGCCCAACCAAACGCGGGAATAGGTGCCAACAATGGAACCGACCAGTTATATTCCACTTGATGCCACCAACCAAACACACCCCAAGATAACAATTACATGTTTGGATCCCCTTATATCATGTATATTTTGACATTTGTGTTAAGATGACCCCATTGGCATTGGCATGAGAAAAAGTATGTACAGCAAAACAAGTACTCATTTGAATATCTAGAAAGTAAGCATGGAACTGCAAGCTGGATGTATTAGTGTGTTACAGCATGTAGGTCATGCTAGGATTCTACTACCAATTAGTGAATCTGGTTTCTACAGTCATCCCAATTAGAAATGGCTAATACACAAGACAAGAGGATGAGGTGTGAACTGTAATGACTACTTTCAGCCAGAAAGATATCCAAGTATCCCTGAAATGCTTATTGAAGCAGCATGGTACTAGGCTACCAGCGTCAACCTAAGAAAACCATCAGAATCATCTTTGTACCAAAATTCTATAAAGCAAACACCGGCTGTAACGGTGTGTTTAACATTTGCCTACTTCCCTGAGAAACCACCTGATTCTGCCAGAAAAAAAAAAGTGCGCATACGATGATTCTAGCAAAGCTGGCACATTAAGCTTATTTCAATGCAATTACAAAATAAATCAGTCATATATTCATGCACAAATAGGTTTAGTAGCCCCAAAAGTAAGTGCAACAGGTGTATCGACACGACATTCTATGTTTCATCAATCTAATACACAAAAGTCCTTCATACCATATCCAAATGCACACCATGATGTTATGATAACCATTATTTTGTAGAATCAAACTCAAAAAGGTCAATCCTACAAAAGATGTCAATTAAAGGTAAAAGGGTAACCAGTCCAACCTTAACCATTGTGTCTCGCATGTAATCATATTCGAAACGCTTCAGTTGAAGTTGCAAAACAGGAGGGAAATCAAGAAAGAGTACGCCCTTTCTTGCATCCTGCAAAAAAGATTGACTGCAATTCAGGTGCCAAGGAAACAAAAACAGAAAATCAGAGAAATATAACCATTACACCAATTTCCTTCATTAAACAGGAAGGACCGGTTCCATCAATGCAGCTTTCCTGGATCTCTGAGTAGTAGAGAATTAAGGGTATGTTTGGTTCTATCCAATGCTTGCCCTACCAAATATTTGGCCAGCCAAATTTTTGGGTGACCTTTTGTTTGCCCCATATGTTGACCAGCGTTAGCAAGAAAAATGAACTAGCCATGTCAAAAATATTCATAGGGTAAGTTTTGGCCACCATCCAAGCATACCCTAACTGTTGTGGCATCTTAGAGTCCAGTTGTCTATCAAGCTTAGTCTAGAAGTATCCAGGGTGTGTGTATCCTGGTAGAAGTATCTGTTTGTGGGAGGAGTCTAGTTATCTCCCAGAATAACCCAGCCTAGTCTAGAATTATCCATGGTGTATATGTCCTAGTAGAAGAGTCTGTTTGTGGGTAGAGTCCAGTTGTCTCTTAGATGGACCCAGCCTAGTCTAGAAGTATCCAGCGTGTGTTGAAGTACCTAAAGGGTCAATATAAGGATGTTTCCCCCTTGTAAGAAGGCAAGAAATGAAATATCTAGTTCCTGCCTATGCTTCTCTTCTACCCCTCTAATTCTCCAATCTTTCCCCACTACCCTTCTACTGTACCACGGCGCCTACACGGTGACGGCACGCGCGTCCTCCGAGTATCCCACTCTACAACCTCCGTAGACAACGTCAGCTACAACACTAACACCTCTTTTATCCAAAATTACTATCAAGTAAACCATTTCTGTGTATTGACTAATGCAAGCAAAAAAACAGGGCAGCCCGGTGCACGTAGCTCCCGCTTGCGCAGGGTCCGGGGAAGGGTTCGACCACTTTGGTCTTTTGTACACAGCCTTTCCCTACATTTCTGAAAGAGGGTGTTTCCAGGACTCAAACCCGTGACCTCATGATCACAAGGCAACATTAGAAACATTAGAAAGTAACCATTAATAGAGCAAGCAAAGGTACCCTGCCATTCATATGTACAATGTACCACACCAATATTCCAAAATATTTAACAACAAAGATAATGCAACTTAAGATTCAGGTTCAAAGCCATGATTTGTAGGAACCTGTAAGCCATGTTGTTCAGCCTGGTATTTGTTATCACCCTCTAGACGCTCCACTTCGACATATTTATCAAATGATGCATAAACATCATGACAACCTTTGACATCAAGTTGTAGATCTGCAAGGCCAGCATAAGTGACCATTAAATAATAGATGGATATAGCACATAAAATGCAAACACAATTCAAATTATAGGTCCTACCATAAAAGGACTCTTTTCTGTTAGATTTATAGTCAACATTAATGCACTCGATGTAATTAATGTGGTGGCCTTCAAATAGTTGTTCAATTGTTCCTTCCACAACAGTTCCCTGGGGAGAAAGCAAAGTTAATGACAAGTAATTGGCATAGAGGTAATTGTTAGTATAACATCCACCTTCATTTTGTCTTCAAGTTTCTCGCATAGAACTCTATTGAGCTCTTGCACATCATGCTGCATGAAAGAATCATAGGTGTCCCACCCGAAAGATTTAGTCAACTCTTTTGTAGCTACACTATTGTCGCTATACTGGAGCTTGTAAAAAAGGCTCTGCAGGGCTAAAGGAATACTCCCAGATGGCATGTCATTCTCAGTAGTTGGCATGTGATACACAGCCTAAGAAGAAAACCAATGAATTGATTCAAAATTAGTTCAAAATTCAAACTCACAACAAAGCATGTGCGGTACGACAAAGCAAGGTCTCACACCTTCCGAAAGTAAGGTATATGATACAGGGTTTGCAGAAGAGAGTTCATATAACAGGTAGCACCCTGATTCTTGAGACCAACATAACCTGTTTCCTTTTTCGAGTCATAAGTCCAATAGTCAACCATTTTGCGAACAGCAACCTCAGCTTCAACAACAACAGTATCATTCACGAGATAGCCCCTACTTGGGTCATACAACTCACTCAGAGGCATAAAAGATGTGAAACCCCAGTCACTCTCACGTGCATTAAACTGATGTTGAGTATCTGCCAAACATGGGACCAACATACAGCCTTAACCAGAGAAATTTTGCAGAAATATTTAAAAACTCACAATATCACCGAAGCACCGCTACTACCGAACTTCATTAGCTACCACATAAAATAACAAGCCAAAAGAGTCTTTGAAAGCATGAGGGCACAACCGAGTGGATGACATGGAACAAAACTAATAATCATTATACCATTACTAAATGCATGATAAAAAATAATTGAAGGTTCAGGCTTCAAGCAACAATAACTGACCGAGAAGTACTAAAACAATATGAGTGGAAATATAAGGATTTTTTCCTCGTGATAGAACATAATCTGGTGTGCATTATAAAAATTATCAACTACTCCCTCCGATCCATAATAAGTATCGCAGTAAGTTTCTCGAAAGAAAGAAAACGATCAACTGCAGATGTTGTGATTTGTGATTTACGGATAACCTAAAAGAAGTTTCATGAAATTAACTCCCAAACTGTTACCTGTATATATACATACATACATACATACATACATATATATATATATATATATATATATATATATATATAACAATTTCAGCGCCACCAGTACCATAGAAATACAATGTCAAACTAGAGTCCACACAATAATTGAATTACTTTAACAATGTTGACCACTGACCAAGAACCCACAAAAAAGAGATGCACAGCTGAGAAACATCCAGCTCCCAGGTATAAAAGTTGAATGATCCTTAGACATTGAAGTATTGAAGTAAAGACTAGACAAGGTTTATATCAAACTTTACAAGAAAGATGTCTGCTTTGCATGTGATACATCAGTTATGAATATTGTATATCTTGATCTACAAGAATGTACTCCATCTCACCAAAAGAAAGAAAAAAGGCGGTTGTGTGTTATCGAGCATCATTATTGCATGATAACCTAGGCATGTACTGTGCACAGCTTCAGTTGCACAGCCAAACAGATAACATGCGGCAGTACATGCACAGAATTTTAACTGATCAATGGGTTCATCCTGTTCCACGTCAGCTCAAGACTTCAAGGTTATATTCCCTTGAAACTTCCATGACGGATGGCTTAAAAAATATGATTACAGCATTAATCCAAGAAAAGCAATACCTTTGCGTGCTGTATACTTCTGATGGATCTGGTTTACAATGGCTAGGCTGAACTGAGCATACCGGCTCCATCCGTAAGGGAGGTTCCCCGAGTCTGCAACATCCAAGTACATCGAGAGATGGTCCACATTATTTCCCTTGGGGAAAATTAGCACACGCCTACGTCCAAAACAAGCACATCCATCAGTACCTTCAACGTCCAACATCTCCCACATTAGACGCATTTTCACGGCGAATCAAAATGGCAAGTTGTCCAAAACTCACCATTTAAATCCCCCAACGACAAACACATCCGAGTAGTGCTTCTTCCCGCTGACCCTGGTGAAGTTCTCTATCGTCCAGGTGAACCGGGAAGTCTGCGGGTCCTCAGGTGCTTGGCTCTCCGCCGTGTTCGTAGGCTCCGTCTGCGCCACCACTAGCAACGCCAACAAGAGCACCACCGAGACCAACACGCGTGCAAGATCAGTAAAAGGTCGAAATGCAAACACCCGACAATCACACCGCCGTGACAGACGGACAAGCACGCTGGGGGGTAAATCGCGAGGCTCTCAGTCTCACCTTCCATTGGCTGCGCGGCGTCTGCGGCGGAGAGCTCCTGGTGTGGCACCAACATCTCTTCATCCTCCTGCTGCTGCTGAGAGGGGCACGGAGGGGGAGGGTTCAGATCCGGGAGGTGCGCGTAAACCCATGAAGAAAGAGGAGACCCCCGATCGGAACGGAGCAGTGGGGCGAGAGGAGCCGGGGAGATCAGGCGAGTGAGGAGATAGGGCACGTACCTCGAGAGGGGAAGGGGTCATCATAGTCATGGAGCCGTCGTCGCTGGCGGCGATGGCCGGTGAAGGGGTAGCGATCCGGGAGGCGGCTGCCGCGCGCGAGCAGGCAGCGGCGGCGGGCGGCGGGCGGCGTGAGGCGGCGGACGGGGAGGAGCTTGGGGAAATGGTCGAGGGGATTTCCCGGGCCCAGCAGGTCACAGCAAGAGGGGATGACAAATTCTAAATTTTCACGTCATGCTCTCTTGTGCTGTCAGCGAGGCGAAGCTCGAAGCCGAACGTTTGGATCTGACCAGAGGGAGTGTCGTCGCGCCCGGAGCACATCGCGTGCTAGACCGAGGGTAACCATGGGCGTGTTTAGTTGCTTTCGCTGCGGGGCCTGGCCCTTCTGAGCTAGACCGAGCAGGCCTGAGTAAGCAAAAACAGGGTTAAAATGTAGATGACTAGTTGATTGGTTGACTGTATTGGAATTTTGTTATCAAGATGCAATTTTCACCTGGCGTTTGGTTGCATACATGCATATGATTACCAGCGTTAACAACAAAACTTAACAGCCATCAGATTGGGCTTGACATTTTGTCAAACACTTTGAGCACGTCGGAGCTTCCACTGCTCATCATGCCCACCACCGGCTTCCGACGACCGTGGACGCGCCCGACTCGCTGCCGTGATCGTGGCCGCGCCCGGCTCGCCGCCGTGGACGTGGTCGCGTCCGGCTCGCCGCAGGTCGTGGACGAGCTTGAGCTGGCGTTATTGAGGATCTTGCCGCGTCTGTCACCTCTCGGAGAGCCTCTGCGTCGACCGCCTCGTCTTCGCTGCCTCCCCCGCGCTCTCGTCGTCGTCGTCGCCGACAACAGCGGATGCCGCGTTGCGGTCTAGCTCGGGCATGGCGCCGGCGCCAGCTCCGGCCGCTACACTCACACCAAAGACCAAACCCAATAGATGTCCCTGAGCAAAGAAAGAAGCGGATCCATGGCTTTCTTCTTGGAGGCACCTGCATTGAGGAAGCTCCTGCTGCGGGGTGGCGGAGCCATGACGCGGTCCCTGTGCAACGCCGGCCTCGGCTTCTACCTCGACGACGCGGGGCGCTTTCTCGCCCCCCTGTGGGAGCTCATCAAGCAGAAGGTCGTCGAGCTCGCGGCCTTCCTCGCCGGCCTCCTCGCCGCGCTCGGCAAGAAGGGCGACAAGCTCTTCTAGTCGGAGACCCGCTCGGAGATGCTCGCGCAGTGGGTGCATGCCGGCGTCACCGTGGTGCTCCCGGCCGCGCTCGCTGCCGCCTCGGTTGCAGTGCTCCGCCGCCCAGCGCCACTTCGCCCCGCCGCCCGAGTTGCTGCTCTCGCCGGCGCGCCGCTCGCCGACGCCGGGACCACCGCGCCTCGCCGCCTCGGTTGCCGTGCACCGCTGCCCCGCCGCCGGCGAACTTCGCCTCGCCGTGCCACCTCCACCCCGCCGGCGCTCGTCTCCGTTCGCCGCCCCGGCCAGATCCGGGCGGGTGGACGAGATCCACCCGTCCCGCGATCCAAACGCCGCGCCCCGCGCTTGGATCCTCTCATCCCGCACCACCTCGTCCGCCCATTGACTTTTCCCGCGGGGTAATATTTCCACTAAGTCCCCAGATCTCAGTAATTTTGTGCACTTCTCATCGCATCATAACTGCATCATCGTAGCTCTGATTCGTGCGTGTAGCATATCAAAATGTTCGTCTTGACGAGTACATCATTTCATCTCATTGCATCATTTTCATTTGAGCTCATCTTGATGCCCGAAATGCTGTTGGAAGAGGGCTATGTGATGAATTTGTCAGTTCTGTTTCAGCAAATGGCATTTTGTTATTTTTGCCATGATTAATGTATGCATGCTATGATCTTAAGCTCTACATGTGTTTTGTTATATGCCATGCCATCTTTACAGGGGTGTATGCCATGTATTTTTATGATCTTTATGGTAACTAGCACAAGCATGCAAAGTAGCTTACTCGGTGATGCTGATTTCAGGGACTTAGAATTTCACTAAGTCCTTGCCATGTCCTTATTTTTATGCCATATGTTCATGTTGTTTCCTAGTGATCCGTGCCTATTTTGAGGATGATCAGTAAGGATGTTTTGTTAATATTGTGGTGCTCTATCCATCCATGTATTTGTTTGCAATTATGGAGCACCCTAGCTTGAGTCAATCGAGCTCTACTTTTGCTATAAAATATTCTTGGCAGATTGTTAACATGTTTAGCGATTTTGCCGAGCTTGTTGTTGTTGATCCGTGCATGCTATGTTGTTGTTTTTGCCATGTATAGCTTCTATGCCATGTCTTCTTGTTGGGTGTATGCTTAGTTTATCATGACATGCTTTGCAGTGAGTGCATCGAGCTCGTAAACATGCCTACTTGTTAACTACTTTGCCATGCTCCAGTTTTTCACTAAGTCTAAATCTGTTAATGTTTTTGCTATGTTCACATGCTTGCAATTGTATTTTCTGATCCCTTTTGGCTTATGGTCACTAAGGGACTTTTGTTATATGTTTTGAGTAGCTTCATGCCATTCCTTTAGTTGCCATGATATCTTCCTGTAGCATGTAGTTTTCATGCTCTAAACTTTGCTTCATGATGATAAATTCCCGACTTGTTATTTCTCTAAGTCTGAAACTTGTTATCGTTTGCACTTTTGCCATGATTGTTTGAACCTGTTAATGTGTGAATTAGCCGTAGCTCAGTGTTCATCTTTTGTCAAGCATCATGAGTGGATCCCTGCCATGTATTTTGTTGCCATGTTTGAGTGTTGTAGCATATTTATCTTGATGCATTTAGATGGCTACTTGCTGTTTATCGCAGACCGGTGTCATATTTGTTTTGCTTGCCATTTCCAAACCGTGCATCCGATTCCGGTGATCTTTATATCGATTTCAACCGAAATCACCTCAGCTTTCCAGTGGCACTCTTGGTTTTCCAAGTTGAGGCCAGGTTCAATCATTCCTTTCCAAATCATGCATATGCATCATATACCGCATGCCGCATATCATGCCATGTTCATGTGTTGGTTGTTTACTATGTTGTGTGCTTCTTTCGGTGTTGCTTCTTCGGGTTGGTTCCGTTAACGTCACATTTGTGAGGACCCGTTTGACTATGTCCGTTTGTCTTCTTCATGGACTCGTTCTTCTTCCTTGCGGGATTTCAGGCAAGATGACCATACCCTTGAAATCACTTCTATCTTTGCTTGCTAGTTGCTCGCTCTTTTGCTATGCCTATGCTGCGATACCTACCACTTGCTTTATCATGCCTCACATATTGTTAAGCCAAGCCTCTAACCACCTTGTCCTAGCAAAACGTTGTTTGGCTATGTTACCGCTTTGCTCAGCCCCTCTTATAGCGTTGTTAGTTGCAGGTGAAGATTGGAGTTTGTTCCTAGTTGGAACATGGATATTTGTTGGGATATCACAATATCTCTTATTTATATTAATGCACCTATATACTTGGTAAAGGGTGGAAGGCTCGGCCTTATGCCTGGTGTTTTGTTCCACTCTTGCCGCCCTAGTTTCCGTCATATCGGTGTTATGTTCCCGGATTTTGCGTTCCTTACGCGGTTGGGTTATAATGGGAACCCCTTGACAGTTCACCTTGAATAAAACTCCTCCAGCAAGTCCCAACATTGGTTTTACCATTCGCCACCTAGCCTTTTCTTTCCCTTGAGTCGGCCGGCTCAAGGGTCATCTTTATTTAAACCCCCGGGGCCAGTGCTTCTCTAAGTGTTGGTCCAACCCAGAGCATCGTGTGGGGCCGTCCCTTGGCAACTTGGGTTATGTTGGCTCCCATACGCTTAGCTTATCCGGTGTGCCCTGAGAATGAGATATGTGCAGCTCCTATCGGGATTTGTTGGCACAGCGGGTGGTCTTGCTGGACTTGTTTTACCATTGTCGAGGATGTCTTGTAACCGGGATTCCGAGTCTGATCGGGTCTTCACGCTAGAAGGAATATCCTTCGTTGACCGTGAGAGCTTGTGATGGGCTAAGTTGGGACACCCCTGCAGGGATTTGAACTTTTGAAAGCCGTGCCCGCGGTTATGGGCAAATGGGAATTTGTTAATGTCTGGTTGTAGATAACCTGAAACTTAACTTAATTAAAATACATCTATCGTGTGTGTAACTGTGATGGTCTCTTCTCGGCGGAGTCCGGGAAGTGAACACGGTGTTGGAGTTATGCTTGACATAAGTTGTTCTAGGATCACTTCTTGATCATAGTTTCTCGATCGTGCTTCGCCTTCTCTTCTCGCTCTCATTTGCGTATGTTAGCCACCATATATGCTAGTCGCTTGCTGCAGCTCCACCTCATACCTTTTCCCTTCCTTTAAGCTTAAATAGTCTTGATCGCAAGGGTGTGATATTGCTAAGTCCCAGTGACTCACAGATACTTCCAAAACCACTTTGCAGGTGCCGATGTTACTGAGCAGGTGACGCAACCGAGCTTAAGGAGGAGCTCGATGAAGATCGTGTTCGTAGTCTTGTTTCGTTTCCAGTTGATCAGTAGCGGAGCCCAGTTGGGGTCGATCGGGGATCTGTGTAGCATTTGGGGTAGTCTTCTTTTATTTTGGTTCCGTAGTCGGACCTTGATTGTATTTGGATGTTGTAATGCTATTCTTGTACTGTGTGAAGTGGCGATTGTAAGCCAACCATGTATCCCTTTCCCTTATGTATTACATGGGTTGTGTGAAGATTACCTCACTTACGATTGCTTTCAATGTGGTTATGCCTCTAAGTCGTGCTTCGACACGTGGGAGATATAGCCGCATCGAGGGCGTTACAGGTTTACTCTCTAGGGTGTGGCCAAGTTTGCAACAACAAACTTGTGGAGCTTGGTTTACTCTCTAGGGTGTGGCCAAGTTTGCAATAACAAACTTGTGGAGCTTGGTTTACTCAGCTTAGTTTGTCTCTGCCCATTTCCTTACCGTAGTGACACTCTATCTTTGATGGACTACGCGGTAGACATGAGTTGGCATCAGTAAAAACTCCGGAGCATGCCTTGTCCGTGGTGACCACGAGTGTAACCAGCCC